ATATAATTTTGTCAACTAAAAAAGAAAGCATTAATATAAATTCTCATGTAAAGTGCTTTCCAATAAAAGCCATAGTGATTTCATCCAATCCTGAGGTTTTGCTACATTCTAAGCATGATGGTTTCAAGTCACAGAAACAGACACCGCTAGCTTGAAGTAAAAATGTACATGAAAATCTTAAGATTTTACAGTTGCTCTATATTTCAGAGCTTCTTGATTCAGTGTCTTGGAATTTAAAAAAAAAAGTCAAAAGGACAGGTCACCTAATCAAAAGAAAACCCTTACTTACATTAAAAGCTGCCTTTAACAGTCATCTTAGCCCCAAACGTCATTTGGGGAATTAAGAGGGGTCACAAAGAGACAGATTCAACTGGGGCACTGTTCTAAAACCCTACACAGGTACAGCAGATAAACCCCAACAATGGTTAGGGGCCAGTGAGGATGTCAAGGCTGCAAGAGGACTTCCTGAGGCAAAGTTTTGGGTAGACAGCTACAACAGGTTGAGCCCCAGACAGGCTTTCTCCCTCATTAGGCAGGAGGAAAGATGTCTGGATAAAGGTATATAACTGGATAGGTTAAACCTGTAAGTGCTTTCTTCTCCATTTTGTAATTAGGGAAAACTTTTGCACAATAGGTGTAAAGGAAACCCTCATACTTGGTCTTCCTCTTCCTTTATTAGACGGGGACTAGACGATAAGCCATTCCACCAAACTGCCCCTAAAATGCCTCCTCAAACATGAAACATGTGGCAGGCTGTGGAGGGAGGGGCAGAACTGAAAGATGGAAGCAGTATAATATCTGGTTTGAATTGCTATTTCTTGACTCAGCTAAATTTTATGTGATGAATACTTAGCGAAGAATAATCACTTTTAGAACTAAAGGGAAAATCTGTAAGTTTATTTTTATGTTCTAAAAAACAAATCAGGTTAATAGCTTATAATTAGATAAGGATGTCTAGAGAGCTATTCTATACTAGGATGGGCTTTCAAATATGTTTCAAAGACAGGATATTGCTAGAATGGCACATGGTAATTGATCAAGTTTTCTCTGTAAAACTGTAAATATAACCTGTTAAAAGCAAGACTAATGCTTGTAGTCCAAGGATACTTATACAAGGACTCATATGAGAGGCTTTCAGCCCCTGTAACACTCTCATGTAAGGAGCCTACTAAGGGCCAGCCACATAGCTCAGCAGATTAAAGCACCTGCTTAGGCAGACACAGGGGCTGGGGGTTTGATCCCCAGCCTACTGTGTTGGCCCCACCGCTGGGGTACACTGAGATGGCAATTGAGATTGGGCATGGTGGCATGTGCCTGTAATCCCAGCTCCTAGGAGGCTGTAAACAGGAGGATCACAATGAGTCCAATCTACATAGTGAGACCCTGTAGCCCCTATAAATCCTGTACTGAATTTAAAAAAATTACTTCAAGACCTGTTCCTTCTTGAGGCTATGGTGCCCTATAGCTGGTAGTGCCCAATCTTTATGCTTCTTTAACACAGATTTCAGCCTCAGCTGATTTTCTCAGATTTTAAAGAGGTCTTTTTCATTCCTTTTGTGTCTGAGAATCAGAACCCGTCTTAAAAAAAAAAAAAAAAATCAACTAGTGGGGGTGGGACAATTGACCTGGACAGTCTTTCACCAAGGGTTTCGAATAGTCCCCATCCTTTATAGAAATGTAATTTTTTTATGCTCTGTGGGGATAGACACAAATATGAAAGGGAACTGAATCCCCCTTAACTTTCTAGCCCTCCTGAGGAGATAAAGTGTCTTAGAGGAGATCCAAATCTGACAGTCCCAGGCCACCTCTTTAGGACTACTCACTTCTTAGAACAAAGGAGCACTAAGTTGTGAGAGAACTCTGAGCTTCCTTTTGCCAACATATGAAGCAGCTGAGAGCCTTTTTCTGGGTGTGACTAGGTTTTGCAAAATCTGGATTCCAAGATATGCTAAAAAGCACAGGCTTCTTTACCAGCTTCTTACAGAGATGCAGGCCTTAGCCATCTTACCAGCAGCAAGAGGAAAGACTTACACAGTAGTAAAGTGAAGTGTTGTGTGGACACTTCTGATCCATCTGCTAAAATCTTAATGGCTGTTCAAAATGTTAGGTTCATACCATGTCAGACTCCAAAGCATCCTGAACCCTTCCCTTACTCTTTGTGGGAGGCTATCACAGGCTCTTCCTGTGGAGAACAGTTGTTGGCCGTATTAATAGTCTTGTAGAGCTCATTGTTTCGTCCATATATACCTAAGTGGCTCTTTGGCTTTGTCTTCTCCAGACTGGAAGTTGTATGATAGGCTGGATACGTGAATATCAAAATTAACTACTGCCACTATATCACTGATGTAACTGATCTTCTCACTAGGTATTCAACAACTGAGGTTCAGGAGGCCAAAACTAAAAAGATAACTGGGCTAAAAGGACAGCCAATATCTTGGTCATGGCTCTTCAAGGTCAACCACAACTCAAGACATGAGGGGACCTTTCTACAGGATCCTACAACCTTGAGTTACCCAACTTCCTGAGCAAGGAGACTGCTAGACCTTGAGGACACATCAACATGTGTACATCATAGTAGGAGGGTCATCACAGGAAAAAATGTTCCCATGCTTTCAGAGAGTACCATGTCCATGACCCATCTCCTGGCAGATGACATACCTGACAGAGAAAGAACTGAAAGAGCTGAGAGGTTTGACTATGGCCCCAAAAAACTGAAAAAAAAAAGTGACCTTGATAGCAAAAGGTAAATTCTGGCTGATACAGGTCTTGCTTTAACTTAGTCTCGACTACCCAGCAACAAAAGGATATAGCCAGGGATATTTATAACAATATAGACTTGATGTACTGAAGGGGGCTCCAATCACTGGCCCCCAGTGGCAATAAGAATTGGCTGGTTATAATTACTATTCTAATCCCTTAAGAACCAGTGTCTATGTGATGCCTTCCCCAATATATTGCTCATGCATGCTTTAATCTCTTGGTAAAGTTTATTCTCACCTCGAGGCTGCCAAATCCTATCTGATCATATAGGTGGAACACACGATAGAGGTCTACATTTCACAGAGGTGCACGCAACAACCCTCCACACCAAAGATGTCCATCCACTGCCTCTTAATCCATTCAGCTTGAAGAAGCCAGATGAATCATTATTTACCTAACAGAAACTGGATGGAAGTCTCAGTAGGGAATGTAGGGGAAAGTGACCTCATAGGTAGGAAAAGACCTCATTGAGCATTATGATCAATGAGGAAACTTACTAAAAGCAGTTCTGCCTTCACAGGTAGACTCCTCAGCATAATTAAAGGATGAAAAATACTTGGGAGAGGTACCAGTTAACACAATTACCAAAAAATGTCCATCCCTTGGACTTTTTCTAACAGGGATCATGAGATGAGACTGATGCAAGCAGCAGAGGGGGGAAAAGGTACATTTTCAATAAAGAAAACTAAAAGTGGTGTGCAGGAGAACACAGTGAGAGAAATCAGGAACATAGACAGAAAATGAATTATACTGTGGTCAGGAGGTGGGAAAGCAACCATTTGGGTTTTCGTTTATAATTTGCTCTTTCACACCAGAGAAGTGTATCAGTGATAGAAGGCATACAAGTTCTACTAGCTTTACCTCAATCTTTCACCCTTAAGTTTATTTTTCTTTCAGATGAAAATTGACGGAATTTGGAGTGGAGCAATGACTACCATAAATTCTGAGTCTCTGCCCATGGAGAATTACCTGCTCTTGATTCTGGGCTGGGCTTTTTTAGCCAACGAAGTTTGTGTCAGCCTGGGTCTACCCGATTTCCAACTTTTAGAGGAATCAACTTTAAGGACCTTGTACATGCTACAGAAATGCTCTACCACTGAGCCTACAGATACAGTTTGAGCATTTTAAGAAAAATAGCAGTTTCCACTTAGTCCTTGTAATCTTGAGCCCCCAACCAACAAATACAACTTCCCCACTAGAGATAGCTTGTATAGAGGATCTCAGAGGAAGACTGTATCTGAATCCAGTCTCTCCCATTCTTGCCAAGGTGTGTGAGGAAGAATTATGTTGGGGCCTCCAGAGAAACCTGGCTGCCAGGTTACCACTACCAAAAGACTCCAAGTGATACTGTGTGGAATATAAGAAATGCTCAGATCAATCCTTGGACTTCTAATGTACCAAATCATAAAATTTAATGAGATTATATTAAGCACAAGTTGTGGGATGATTATACAGCTTTAAGTAATCAGAATTGTCTTTCATGTAATTTTATTGTGTCACATTCTTGCTACATGGAGGAACCTGTTTTTGGCTCTAACCCAAATAACATTTTATCCTCTTAAATTTTTTAAGACTCCTTGGCTTCAAGAAAGTGCACTCTGCAGAAGGGGACTCTCATTTCTACTGAAACCAGTGATTCAAAAATATTAATGTACTTAATTGCTTGGAGGGGACAGGGAGATGGCTCAGTAGTATAAGTGCTTGCCTGCAAGTGCAAGAGCCTGAGTTCAATCCCCAGTTTAAAAAAAAAAATGCTTGGAATTACTTAAAATTCTGGTTCACAACTACCTTTACTCAGAAGTTGTATAAACCTGGTATGGAGTAGTTCCGGAATCTGCATTTTAAGATAGACACCATGTGATTTGAATATATGGAAAGGTCTTCCAATAAGATGTTATAGTGAGGCTGTAAAGCAAGAAGCACAGCAGTGCAAATAAGGAAAACAAGGTATTTGTGTCTCTTCTTTACCATTCTCAAAGCTTAAAAAGTTCCATTCTAAGCTTCCATTTAAAGTTCTTAAATTCTATATCCAATTAAAGTTACAGTTTTCAGAGAATTTGAGTTTATTTTAGTCTCTCAAGTCCTGTCAAGTAGAATGGATGTTTTATAGAGAAGAGACTAACCTGTATCCAAAAGATGTCAAGTGTGGTATCTCTGAAAACAGAATCTCATAGAAGCCAAGAACCAAACTCCTTGCAACTCTGTATTTTTATTTTTTAAAGAAATACAGATTCTTTAAATCAAAAACGCCACCACCAGTACCCACTTTCATTACAGGAAAAATTTATGGCTAATTTCGGATTGCTAACTCTCACAGTTGCCAGCAGCCTCTGCAATTCCTTATCAAATCCATCTTTGCACAACCTGGGAAGACACAAGGGGAGCAGGTTTTTCTGTACCCAATTTACCCATAGCCTTCTGAAGGCTTTAAGAAAAAAACCCTATCAAAATAGTTTATTAATATGAATGGAGAGTGGGAAAACTGAGGAATGCAGTGAAGGCAACAACAGAAGTCAGAGGAAAACAGAATATAAAATAGTGATGGATTAACATTAAGAGGGTCTCCTGCAGGCCTTCTATCCAAACAAAATAGAGGTAAGGTCAGTAATGAAAATAGCTAAGAAATTTATTATGCTAAACACTATAAGTACTTGGCCTACACTGACTCAGCAAGCTTCACAATAATGCTATAGGGTCTATTTTTATCATTTCACCCATTTTATAGATAGGAAAAGGAAACCGCTCATGGATTAGGGGAACAGACAAAATTAAACATTTAAGAGGTAGTGATAGAATTCAAATTCAGTGAGTCTAGCTCCAGAATGCCCAACTCTGAACTATCTGTCACTGTATCTCTTAACACTCAGTATTCTAGGATTCCAAAGAGCCAGTCAAGTTGATTCTGAGAACTACGAATAAATTAAGGACTCCGTAAATCCCTTATCACAGGAAACTCCCTCCAGAAGTTATTTAGGACTTACCTTAGAACTTGTAGTTCACATTCTGGACATGACAAGACTTCACATAAAGTTCTAAGTCCTTCATGGCCCAAGGAATTCTGTGCTAGGTTTATTTTTATCAGCCTTTGGTTGCTGAGAAGAGCAGAGGAGAGATCCTGACAACACAGAGAAGTCAAACCACAATATTCCAGCCTATAGGGAACAGACAAAGTATAAAAATAACTTCATCTCACAAATGCAAGACAAGATCTTTGGGAAGAAGATAACTGCAGAAACTTTCAAAAATGTACACAGGGTAAATTCAACAACCACAAACACATATTATTATTAGGTATTTGCATGCTGAAGGTACCACTTCCTAAATCATGAATTATACTTCAGGGACTAACAAGCATACTCCCCAAATCCTGTGATTATGAGACAGGTGAACCCTTGAACTAATGACCACTAAAAATATCAGTATAGAATTTTAAAACTTGGTACTGAGCGTTTAAAAAGCAAAGATCTCTATACCATTTATGCAAATGAACTTACATCAAAGAATATTACAAGATAGTCTGTAGCATATTTCTCTCTCTCTCTCTCACACACACACATACACACACCCACACACCCAAGTTGCCTAGGTACGGGCTGAATGGCTAACAGAAATAAATTAACCAACCAACAGGTCCTTCTACAAGCCAATGACCCTATAAAAACTGAGGAAATACATCAAACTCTAGCTTCTGATCTTCCTTCAACCTTAATATCCACCCTCTGTTCAGGTGAGTATATAGGTGCTGAACATGTAAAACTTTTAAAGTTGTTGCCAGTGTGACCTGCAGTAGTAACAAAGGCTACTATTGCAAAGTAGTGAGGAGAGAAAATTTTTAATAAACTTTGCTGGAAAAAAGTGAGTGTCTGAGTAGAAAGAATACTAAATTGGACTTCAACTGTAATCATATTTTTAAAGACCTATTAAAAACTTTACAACTTGACTTTACCATTTAGGGAATAATAGAATGTGTGGGAAATTATGAGTTTCTGGAAATACTCTATATAGAAATGCTTTGGGCTCTTCTGATCCCAAACTGAAAACTGAGGTGCAGTTAAATGAGTCGATAGCCTCTGGGATAGCATTCTGGGGGAACAGCAGCAACAGTATTGTGAAAGAACATCTTAAAATCTGATGTATTAAACATAGTTAATGTTCTTTCTTCCCCAAAATCCAATAGTGCAGCCTGGTAAAATAACTGTCCTTTTATATGAGCCACGCAGCAGCTACAGCTGCCCCCTGACCCAATGCTGTGTTTGTTGTGCCCACACCAATCTTCTAAAGGAACAAGTTCTCATGTGGACAGAATAGGTCCT